ATTATATATTTCTTTTAAATAGTCCTTTAAATCAAAAATCCGAAGTCAGAGGAAAAAAAGAATCCACAAAGTCCGTCCTCACTATACCAAAGGGAAAGTGGAAATTTTTCTTTGTTGCAAAAAAACAACTGCCGTGGCCATTTTCCTCCTCACTTTCACTTTGACGAATGGGGGAGATCTCTTTGATCTTCCAGAGTTAAATTTAAAATTAAAACCCTGTTAAGTCCATTTTCCTGTTCAGCACCGGCTGTCAAGATAAGTACTCACAAAAAAAAGAACATCTTCTGAAAGCAGCGTCTCGCACACGGCGAGGTCTGCCCGGGGTGCAGAGATAGCTCCGGACTCCGGCGGGGCTCTCACCCAAATTCCTCAAGGAACTTGGGGAGCTCAACACCTATCCAGAGTGGCTCCCCCACCTCCTTTAGCCCAGGAGGTGAGTTTCAAGCCGCCCGACAGCTGATTTATGCTGTCGGCACGGCTCTAACGCAGCCCCGGGAGGGAGACTTCAAAGGAAGCCTCCGACGAAGTCGACGTCTCAAACCGGAAGCCAGATTTCTTATCCCTTTATTTTTTATAAATAACTCAAGGTGGCAAACATACAAAATACACCTTCCTCCTCCTATTTTCCCTATTACAGCAACCCTCTGAGGTGGGTTAGACTGAAAGAGAGTGACTGGCACAAGGTCACCCAGTCAGTTTTCACGCCTAAGTTAGAACTAGAACTCACAAGTCTCCCAGTTTGTAGGCCAACACCTTAACCCAGGCATGTCAAACTTGCGACGTCATGTGATGTCACGCGATGTATCATGACTTTTTTCCCATTGTGACGCATTTGGCCTGCGGGCCGGCAGTTTGACATGCCTGCCTTAACCACTACACCAAACTGGCTAAACTGATTCAGTTTTAATTTGTGATAGGCTTGTAACAGAATGCAATGTCACCTGTTCTCTGGATTCTTATCCCTCTTGGTTTGTAACTTCTAACTGGAAGCTTATTAAGATATTTTAGTTAATATCATAAATACCTTTCTAAGGGAGTGTAAGATACAACCTTGTTTAGAGGAAACAATTGTTAGACCATTTACTGTATTAAGAAGCCTGTCCCTAAGTTATGGGCAATTAAAAGCCAGTTTCTTCTTACTCTTCTATGGATGGATAAGAAACCTTAAAAGAGGCTTCTCAACTGTATGTAGTCCTAGAAGAAGCATATTTACTTGACCTATTATATAGAGGTTTCAGGATGAATTTGAGATAGAGACTGTTTTGATTAGACATATTGATTATCTTTTGGGAGAGAGTGACAGAGGACTGTAAGTCAGTTGGTTCTTCTTGACTAAGAATATTGACGATCCTGGACTGGGGCTGTTGATAAATTCTAGGTCTGTTCATAATAAAACAAACTTGCTTG